TTGTTTCCAGTGTTTGGAAAGGGCCAAAGTCTCTGGCACTCTTATTTTGGGGGTCCCGAGCTGAAAAGGTTTGGAGCCCCTGATCTATAGGAAAGTGTTAATGTACTGTAGTTTTAGGGGACTTGGGAAGATGTATATGCTTGGTTTCGTTTCGAAATAACTTTCTAAATAACCTCTACCTGTGCTCCAACAGTTGTAAATTATTAGATTCATCTTGAAGAAATGCACAGGATGTCTTAAGGCCTCAAATCACTGCAGGTAGTGATCAAACATGAGTCTTGTTCTGCTCAAGATTTCTTCCTGTTCCTCGACAGTTTTGCTGAATATTGGTTAAGCTCATGTTGAGTCTCTGTAACTAATATAACAAAGAGTATGTTCTAAACCCGCATCTTCTGAAGACTGTCTTAAGTTAACATTTGAATTATAACTATACAAATGAAGATTGACTGATTTCTGATTAAAGGTTTGAGTTTTGTATCGTTTGGTGATGGAAGATTTGTCTGGAAGTATTAAAGTAAAAAAAAAAAAAGAAAGGTTGGTTTATTCAACTTGAAAAACGTTGATGGCTGTTTTCATTAGGAATAGAACATTAATCTATTAAAACAAAAAAACACAAGCAAAGCTTTGGCACAGAAAATAAAATTAAACCAACCATTAATTCATCAGTGTACCAATTACATGTGATTTTCTGTCAAAAAATAGCTTTAATTTCAAGTACTTTACATCCTCTTATGCTCATTAGATGAGTCGAGTAGAGCAGACGAGGTCACTCATTTCCTTTCATCCTCAACATAAGAGGCTCTTTTCTGTGACCCAAATGGCCTTTGTGCATGTGGATCTGTTACAAATTGGTCGATTAAAACCATTACAACATCTCTGTCTTCTTCCACACTGCTGGAGAGGAAAGAAGACTCTTTAAACTATTACCTGAAAAAGATGGAGTACATTTTGACTCATTGCATTGTTCTTTTCCCACCAGTTGCTCATGCAAATAGCATTTGCATGCCTTTCTGCATAACTCTGCAGCCCATGCATCACTGATACATGTGCCTTCCCACATCCCCTCAATCTTCATCTGAGAGAAGGCCTGACGCACAAGTCTATTTTAAGTCAGAGATCTTGAATGACGCTGAACCATCACCTGACCTGCTGCTAAGTCGGACTGATTGCTGCTCCTCAAAGTGACTTTTTTTCTGTGACAATCTGTACTCAAAAATATGAGAACAATTAAGTTCCTTGCCTGCAGAAGCAGTGCTGCAATAAACAGAGAGAACACTGTTTTATAACCAAGAAGGACAACAAATCTCTCTCTCCCTGGACTCTGATATTCAAACAAAGAGTAATTCTCAAAACTTAATCATATGGGTCTGAGGGGAAGAGATGCAAAACAACTTTTAGATCCTGAGTCACAAGAAGTAAGACATTTTTGGATTGCTTAATTAATATTGATTACATTTACAATGCCATTATTGAAAATGGCCAAACATCAAGGTCTGGTTTCCACAGTATGAATTATTAATGGACTAGTTTGGTTGATCCAAAATGACAAGACTTTCTTTGCCTCAAAGCCCATTCATTGACTTGTTGTAAGAGCAATATCAGCTTACAATATGAAAGGGACTGGGACTTAAATGAGACTACGGCTGCAAAATAAATTGCCATGTTATCTATCACAATTTGAGCATTAGCAATAAAACATCAAAAAGTCTGCTATAATCGCAATAAAAAAGGAAGAATTTACAATATTTAAAGAATATGTGTGTACATTTTACCTGTTGGATGGAGTCATGTCATATTCACACCCATTCACACCCATGGTAGAGTTGTTATGTAGTGAGACCTTCAGAAGTAACTAATCCCATTCATACGCCGCCAACGAAGCTGCGGGAGCAACTTGGGGTTAAGTGTCTTGCTCAAGGACACATCGGAGATGTTGCTGCAGGAGCTGGGGATCGAACCCCCAACTGGGCCCCGGCCGCCCCCCCCATGATGATGCAATCACATGAAGTTCAAGCTAGCTTTCAGCTACCCTCAGTTAAATTGGTGACAATTTAGAGGCAAGACAAATGCGTTTTGAATGTATTTGGCATAAGGAAGGACATGTTGAAAACACTGGTATTGTGAAAAACTATTGCAGCAGAAACCGAGTTATAGCTAAGATGCACACGTTAAGAACATTTACTTTGCTTCATTTTGTTTTTGAAATATTGAACATTGTAATCCCATATTGAACTTTTCTTATTACAGTTTGATTTTTTATATCGGAATGTATATTGCAGAAAAAATGTATCACAATTTAATTTCCTCCCAGGTTCAGCCCAATGGGACCTCTTTTCTTAGCTGCCTACAGCCTTTTTGCTTAATTATTCTAAAATCCAAAGAGTTGGGGAAGAAGAAATGCCACTTCTTCAGGAAACCAAGGCTCTGTCCAAATATTCCACTCGCCCTTTACCACTTAGCCACCACCCATTTTGTGCGTTCACTTGTAGGGGTAGGGTGTCCAGATTCTTGTTGGAGTGGAGGGGTTGACGGTAGTGTTAGGGCTACATGTCCCTATAAAACTGAAATTCTTTACATAGACATTATAAACTGAGTGTTGTGAGAAATCTCCCAGAATGCCTATCCAGTAACATTGTCACGTCTGTTCACGTAAATGCTCCCAACGACTACTGATGACCTATAAGGGTCCTGAGGGGGCGTCCCATTTCCTAGAGGGAGATTTCAACACAATCCCTTGAAGATCTGTTCAGGGGTCAAAGGGGCTTCTTAAAAAAAACGAGGGGGCAGGAGTAACAATTAGAAATGGGACTGAGCACAAGTCTTCCCAGCCCACTTCTTGAGCTTAATTGGTCCACAATGAGGTTGCGTAGCTGCCTGCTATGACCTAACCCAACAGTAGCCATTTTTCTTAAACAATTTCTGTGTAATTAATGAAGCTCATTTGTTTGAAAGTGCTCCTGTGACCAATTACAAATGGAGAGTCAAGGTGCCTTTCTGGAGGGCAGCAAAGACAGTTATTCTTTGTTCAGCATTGGTGTTTATGTCTTTCATGTATTCATTCAGTTCCCAGGCTGAACTCTCATCCAGAAGCTTTTTCTTATCTGACACCACTTTCAGCATGACACTTTCTCTTTGCCTTCAAAAGTGAGTTAACACTGATGAGAAATCATCTATTTTGATCATATGAGAAAACCTATGGTTGGGATAGGTTATGGATTTAGGTACAACAACACATTTGGAAAGATTAAGGGAAAGATCAAAGCATAGGTTGAAATGGCATGGTATTGGTACATTCACCAAGGAATGATCTTTTTTTTTTTTAAACGGGGGGAGGGCTGGAAATGTAAAACAAACAGCGGTCTCCTTCCACAAGTCACTTTGTTTTGCTCTTGAATAACTGCACCATAACTCCTCCTGTACTTCTCTCATATGTTTCTAGAGCTGTTACAGATGCTGACCTTTTTGGACCATGTCCTCATGCACCAAGAAGTTCTTAGAAGTCAGTTCTACCTGACCCACTCCCTTTAACATGGGCCCAACCAAAGTACACAATCATACCAGTGCCACAGCTCGAGACTTCAGAACTTCATTCTCAGTCTATCGAACTGTGCTGTATATATCAGTGCCGCTTTTTGAATATTTCAGAAGAACCGTGAAAGTCTCTAATTGAAAATTAAACCTCCTGTCTGAGCCTGACAGTCAGCGTCAATCAGGAAACACAAAGGGCTGGATGTTACAAAGTGTGAAACAAGGAGAAGGAGATAACGGGATGAGTAAATCGCTGAAAGGGAAAGGTTCTATTTGATGGTGAGCCTGAAAGCGGGGAATGTGATGTCTGTGTGGAAGCACAGTCATTAGTTCACAGAGGTTAGAGATCAAAGCAAAAAGGAAAAAAGGACAGCTGCCATGTGTACTTACGAACACATGAAAATGTGGCATCACCCGTCTATTTTCTGTATTTCACCTTCTCTTTATGTTGCAGGTTCTTCTGTCCAAAAAAATACTTTAGACTCATTAACTCACTGTGAGCTCCAGAGCAGGGGGACTAATGAGCGAAAAGAGCTACTGTTTTATTTGGTTGCAGGGCAAATCTGATGTTGAATTACACCGTGACATAGCGCAGGCTGTCATATTTTGCACATCTGTTCTCATTAGTTTGTTCTCAATGGTTTCAGGGGCCCGCCGGTGTGTGTGCTTTGACAGGAGATATACTGTACAGGAGAGACGGGAGCATTTCGTCTTCTCACATTAACAGGTTAATGATGCCACACGGGAAGGTAGTGACATGTACATATGGACAATCAATAGGAGAAAGTAAGAGGGAGATGTCTCTTAAAGGCAGGACTGATGTTTTAAAAGCTTCTCATCTACTTGTGTTGTAAGTTATTTGCTCAAATTCTGACAAATCCATTCAATCCTGGACAATGCTCCAGAATGGTATTGATCGTCTGAAGAGGCTCTCCAACATATGTCATAAGGGGAGAACTCTTGGAATTCAAAAGCTGACAAAAAAGCAAACGAGATGACAGGAGCTCTGTAATATTCTAAGACTTGCATACATAATTCAGAATGGTATAGAACCACACTATAACCTCACTGTAGGATGGGAGGAGGGGATAATATTAACCATGGGAACACTGGAAACAGCCCTTCAAGACCATTATATTATAGGACTTTACAGAAATTAACTCAAATACCAGAGGACATTATGAAAGCATTCATTTAGAACAGTTACCCCAAATCCCCCCCATTAGAAAAGCAAGGGACAGTTTTTTGTTTTTTTTAAAGTTTGTCGAATTGATGAAATGAAACAAATTAGAATCCACTGTTATTCTTCAGAGTTTCATCAAAAAAAAAATGCGTTCAGTCATTTGGAATCATTTCCTCTGGTTCCATATTATTCGGCAATTTCATTTTTTTTTTATTTTGTGAGGAATAACTGAATTGAAGCAGAAAGAACCAGCGATGTGAAAAATAACAACCCTACTTGGCAGACTCACCCAGTGTGTTGTTGTGTCCATCTGTTTCAGCTCGCTCGCACGGTCACAACTGTGAATATGCAGCATGCCTTCAAGTTTTCCGCGCAGATGCTCTGGGACATCGTCGAACAAATTAACTCTGAACTCGATTTGCAGCCCCTCACATGTGGCGCGGAGTTTTCAATAGGCTGTAGGTGGTTTAAACCATGAAGCCGGTTAGACGCGTGCAAAGCGCTAAAACAATGCAGTGGTCCATGGCGCACGCCAAAGAGGTAGACGTGTTACTCCTCAGCAGTAAAGTCGTCGTCAGAATGGTCCTCTCTGCAAGAGACCACAGATGTTTGCAGAGGAGTGTGTGTAGTTCGAAGCAGGTGAAAGGCTGTTTCCTGCTCACTGATGGTCACTCCGCTCTCTGTCCACGCAGGTGCGTCCGGAGCTCCGCTGCGCGCTGCGCTCTGCCCAACTCTGTCTCTGGGAAACCACCAAGTGCCTCAGTACAATTTCACAGCGTCAGAGGGAGTGTTTTTTTTTAGACATGTCTTTCACACTGCTATGGACTCTATTATTCCCTCTCCCTTGAGGGGAGTGTAATATCCTCATCATTTCTCGCATCTTGTACTTAAATTTGCTTAACAAATGATTTCCGCTTTTTAAGTTGTATCAGTGAATATGACTGACGCTTGTGCGCTTATGTAGGTCACCCTAGTATGTATTTAATTTGATTTTAGATAACAGACCGCAAGCTCATATCTGGGTACTTTGCTCGTCATCTTTGCTTTTTAAATACATCTTAACATTTTCCAACAAAAAGATAACACAAGTGTCTTGCATATTGTGGGCCATGCGCTGGGAAATACGAGTTTATGATGTCTGATTTAGGCACACTGGACACTCAGTAAGAGGCAGACACACCCTGGTAGAGAAAGTGCGGTTTGCAGACCAGCTGAAAGCCTATCATACTGGCTGGAGTCTCGCTGTAATTTCAGCCTGGTCTGTCAACACAACATCAGCTCTACTGAGTATACGCTCAATGAGAGACAGCAGAGAGACAATGATTGCAGCAGTCTGATTGATGCCAAAGTAAACAGTGATGATGGCAGTAGAAGCATTCATTTGCAGTGTATCTGGTGTTCTCTATTCCTGCTAACAGCTCAGGGTAATAATATGGTGACATAAAAAAAAACCACTCTGGTAAGATTTAAAAAACGTTCACTGACTTAAAAATAGAACAAAGGGCACGTAATTGTTTTAGAGACCCAATGTTCCCTGAAGAAACCATCCCCTCAAACACATGATGTGATGTTTGGTGTCCTTGAGCAGAAAACTCAAATCAAATCAATGCTAGAGGTGCTGTTGTTTTGAGTTTGATCTCCGAACTCTGTGCAAACAAGACAGAAAAGAACCCTGCAAAAGGAAAAAATAGACTTTTATTGCATGAAATAAATAGAGCATAATTTTAAAGCTGATATAAGTAGTATATTTTTCAGTTGTGCAGATTTTGGTGCCCCCTGTGGAGAAACCGAAACTCTTGTCTCTTTACTAATTTTGACCTGTGCATACATAAGCTATGCGATGAAAAAACGCATCCTGCTGTCTCAGTTGTATCAGTCACTGTGACTTTGCAGTAGAAAATGTAAACAAAGGCTGTTTTTTGCTGTAACTCATTTAGTCTGGCACCTATCCCACGGCAGTGCCACAGGCACTAAAAAATCACTATCAAAATGATTATTCTGGTTGCTAAATGAACATTTTTTTGCTTTTTTGTTCATAAATAGGCATCATTATTATAATCAGTCTTTTTTCATAACCTAATAAAAACTCCACAAAGGGGCTTTAAATCAAAAAGGAGATAGATTCCGTTAAAGTTATGCTAAAGCATTTGAGATTTCCTTCCTGATAAACTCAGGGTTCAAGAAGAAAAATCTTAAATTTCTCGTGAAAGGAAAAATATATTTTCCCGGTTTTCAACTCAACTATTGTGTTTAACATGAATTATTAAATATGCCTTTTTTGCCAAGTACATTTCATTAAAGCATTATCTGAGGAGACAATTTATTTGTTCATTAAAAAAAACTCTCAAACATCTGATGATTGTCTGATTTTTGACCAATGAAAAAGCATTGTTGAAGCGTACTATCCAATCAAGTTCCTTCTAACATCATGTCTGCCTTCTATCTTGTGATTGGTTCAATCCTATATATGCTGTTTCATTAGAAAATGTGTCCTGACACAGCAGATAAATACTCTCGAAGCATGTCTACACCCCCCCCAATTATCAGAAAAGTCCATCCTCTCCTTCTTTTGCCTGCTAATTTTCCATCTCCTCTAAATGAGGTATGTATATATTACCTGACATCTAAAGTAAAACACAGAAATTAAGATAAACTAAGAGTTTCGGGAGCATGTGACACTATTTCAATCGCTAGAAACTGCAAAGTCCTTGCCAGTGTTACAGTTTAAAGAAAACCATGTTAACTGGCGACTTTAAGTCATATGGGTATGTGGTTGTCAGACGTTATGTGTCCTATAACAAATGCCTCTTTGTTTCTTAGTTTTGCCTCTTTTGCTTTTTTTAATAAAAACATAGATAATAGGTATTTTTTACATTATGATAAAACAAAAACTGTACTAAGAAGCATTCTAAAATGTGCAACGTTGCTATAACATTAACCACAGTAGGCTTGTGTGGTTAATCCATGACATGTATAATTATAAGAAGCAGCAGAAAGATAAATAGATATTACAATGTGAGCTTATGATATAAGAAAGTTACAATTCAGTGCAATATACAGTATATATTCAATGCAATATTGGCTCAGGCTTTAACTTTGGGGTAGGTGAACGATGTGTCATTTCTTCTTTCACAGGTCACAATGTCTACTTTTAAATTTTACAGGGGACAAACATCCCTAGATTATCAACACACTCTTTAAAAGATTGTTTTGTTTTGGAATGGGTGCAATAATTCCTTTTTCCTTACTTCTCTTTGACATGTCACTCCTATCCTGACTTTGAACTGCATGAAAGTATCACGGCTTCACTTTAAAGGCATCCACAAAGTAAGATGTTGCATCCTGCCCTATCTGCGAGGCCATTCTGTTTGAAAAATAGCCCCCTTGAGTCAAATTTAACCAGTGAAATGACTTTGGGGAGAACGACCATAAAGATTGGAAAGAGAGACATCCTTTACATTCAGGAAAAGTTAATAGGACTTTTTAATGGAGTTGGGAAACTTACAATGTCAGCCAAAACAAAACCTGTTAGAAGTCTCCTGGAGGAATTATTAAACCTGCAAGTAGATTCCTCTTTTTGTTTGAGTCTCCAACTTTAATTGGTGTGTTTTCACAGTTAATTTCAGCTCACATCAAGGTAAGAAATCCTCCCAGGTCTCTTAGTCTGCCGACAGATATTATTAATCTGTCACCAGTTACCTTGAATTTATTCTCCCACCACCCAGACTCTTTAGACTTTTCCTGTGCCAGTGTATGAACGTGTTATTCAACGTGTTCTCAGTTTGCCTGATGAAAGGAAAATGGAAGGTTGTTGTTGTTGTGTAAAATCATATTTAATTTAACTATTCTAGGTCAGGCAGCTATTTTAGGTTTTCAGCTTTTACATGAAATTATTGCTTAGGCATGCATATTCAGTACGAACAAAAAAAAAACAAATAACATTTACAGAATGAGTTTACAGTGTGAGAGTTAACTACAGTCATACAGCTATTAGCCACTCTGTATGCGTCTGATATTGATAAATAACCCTGCTCCGAATATGCTGCATCAGCCATGTGGGTGTGTAATAAACTTTGACTTCATCATCTTGGCTGCCTTATCTTTCCTGGGCTGGGGGATGAAGGTACTACATGATGAGAAACCAAATGCTTAACCTGAGTTTATGATTCCAACATGTTTCTAGCCTTGTGTCCTCAGGCCTGAAGCTGCACTGGAGGAAGAGATGAGAAAAAAATATACTGTAAGGCCGAACAGGACAAAGAGTGTTGGCTGAAAATCGCATTTACCGCGGTGTGCATAAAAACAGCATTTCTTTGGTCTTGAACCCTTTTCCATGATTTTATCGTGTTGCAGGAAATGATTGACCAGACTGGACAGGCTTGCAAGGCTGGCCAGTCATTTCCGGTTTTCATTATGTTACCTTTGGTTTCTAACTTATTTAGTCGGACATCTCTGTCTCGGATCAACTTGGTACCATCTGTCAGCTTCCACTTATGTTTTTTTCATCAAAGTTTATTATATAAAGCATGTTTTTGTTTAAATATTTTAAAACAGATCAACTTTATATGATTTGTATCGCCTCAGCGTCACATTTCTACCACTTTCACCAGTATATGATCTTCACTTCGCTATACAAGCTCAAGTCCATTTACCATTTACCATTTACTTCATCTTAAGTAGTGGACTGGCATATCAGGACAAAATGGTATTGTTTTTCCCCTAAAAGGGGTGATTAGTTTATTAAAAAAGTTATTGTTGGCCATTGAAGACTATCATTGCCCATCTCCTAATTTCTCAGTGTTAAGTCTCAGGGCTCAGTCATGGGCCCATTATTATTCTATTTTTATTCTATTTATTCTATTAGGTATTTCATAAATACAACAGGCTGCATTTTTATGCAGAAGACTTCCAGAGCTATCTCTCATTCAACTCCAACAACGAAGCACAATTAGTCAAAAACCAATGCTCTCTGGCTTATGAGAATGAGCAACAGTGGCAAGAGCAGCCTGGGTTTTATTGTAGCTCTAGTTCAGAATGAGCCCTTTGCCAACTGCTTGCTTGTGGTATGTCTTTTTTTTTCTTTCTTTTTTTTAGCATAATGTCACTGTAGGCTTATCATCTCTTCAATTGTACTCCCCCTCACTGCAGATAAGCACAAGAGGGGGAAGGGTATGTTTTAGATATCCTTTTTATAAAGGAAAACACTCATTTCTAATTTTTGTGCGGCAGCTGACCCTTTCTAGCTTGTAAAACACACTAGTTTACTAATCTTAATTAACATGTTTTTTCTTTGTAATTGTTTTGCCAGTTTTTCATCCCTTTTCATAACCCATCATCTGTGTCTCAAATCGGGGGCTTTCCCTATCCTTTTAAGGGTGCATTTTGAACACCAATTGCAACACAGTGGCACATCAAAAGCTATCCCATTACGAAGGCTCTTCAAATGTGTTCGTTTAGTAGCCTGTTTTACCAGGCCATGGAAGATTCACCCAGTGCATCCTTAGTGGACCTGAAGATTACACTTTTAAATGTGGGTAATAGGTTTGAACTCGCACAATAAGCCAGCAATGAAAGGAGCCTTGATACTTTAAAGATGTCTCTTAAATAATAGGTTAAGTTAAATGATGTCATTCTGCTGCAGGTGTCGAGGTTGCTAGGCCACAGGAGGGCACATAGGTGCAAACAGGAACTCTTATGTACAAAGGCTGGCTCCTTCAGCCTGGATGCTGCCCTT